CATAGTGCCTAAGGCATTTGACTGCTAACCAGAAGGTTGGTGGTTCAAACCCACCAGCCACTCTGCAGAAGGAAGACTGGGCAGTCTACTTCCATAAAGATTTACCATTTCAGAAACCCAAAGGGGGTCCCTATGAGTTGAAATCTACTCAATAGCAGTAAGTTTGGTTTTTGGTTTTATAATGATGTAAGCATCCCCCATGATGTCATCTGATATAATTATCCTCCATTTGTGATAGTGTTGTAAATCCCAAACTCTGTAAATAGGCAGGATTGTGTTTTGTTAATGAGGGTTAGGTTATGATTGTTAAGTTAATGAGGCAGGATTCAGGTGGGATGGAACACTCTTACTCAGGTCATAGCCCTGATCCAGTGTAAGAGGATTCTCCCTGTGGTGTGGCCTGCATCACCTTTTATCTTATAAGACATAAAGGGAAAGGGAAGGGAGCAGAGAGGAAGGGAACCTACTACCACCAAGAAAGAAGAGCCAGGCATAGAGCACAGCCTTTGGATCTGTTGTCCCTGTGCTGAGAATCTCCTACTCAGGAGAAGATTTACCAAGGCCCATGGAGATCTCCAAGGAACAGCAAGCTCACAGATGGTGAAAGGAGACAAGGACCTTCCTCCAAAGCTAACAGAGAGAAAAGCTTCCCTTAAAGGTTGTTGTTGTTGTTGTTATGTGCCATCGAGTCGGACCCAACGGTGGTGCTCTGAATTTGGACTTCTAGCTTCCTAAACAAAGAATGTATTTCTGTTTGTTAAAGCCATCCTACTTGGGGTATTTCTTTTATAGCAATGCTAGATAACTAAGACTGATGACTTACCTGATTATTCTTTTTGGTTGTTGTGAACAGATTGAAATAAACATTTGCTCAGGTTTTCACACTGTATGTGTGGAGGGAGATGTTTTTGTATATGGTTAACCATGTATAGCATGTGGTTATATTTTAAAAGGGGGGAAATCATTAACAAATGAGTGAATCTGCATTTTCTTTTACACTTGAAGTTGTGTCCTGACAAACCTTCTTTTAAAGAATTCCCATTTAATGTAAATTCAGGCAGTAGTAGCTAAGGGTTTTTGCAATAAAGTAAGGGTATATACAATATGGTAAAAATCCTGGATTTTTTGAGCATTAGCAAAAGTCTGCTATGAAGCAGCATTTTTCAGTTTGTTGGTCTAAGGACCCCTTTACAGTTTTAATAATTATTGATGACTGATTTCAGACAAGATGGAATAGACTCATTTCTCCCTATTCCTCCTGCTAAATACAGTAGAAACCCTGGAAGTTATCAAACAAACATTACTCTGAAAGGTGGAGAGAAGAAGGGGGAGTGGGACTCAAGAAATGACATGAATATGAGTTACCTGGGTTTCCTTTTAGCATCTGTACACACTGGACTAAGTGTCTAAAATCTGGAAATGCTAGAAGGCACAGCCAAAAAAAGCCCAAGAAAGCCCTGTTCTCTGTTGATAAGGATGCAAAAAAGGGGCAGAACAGCCTAACAAATCTTTTTGTAAAAAACAGCTGTATTCCAGCCAAACAACACAAGAAAAACTGTAGAACCTTCTCATCCCCTGTCAGCAGAAGCCAAGTAATAGCTTGCCTAGACTTCTACTGTTACCCAGTGGTAACAAGAAGCCTTCTGCCTCCTTGCTGGTGTGGGGTCAGAGGAGGCTGAGTATAGGGAGCCTGGACTTTCACACTCACTCAGTGACAAAGAAATGGTGCTCCCCCTTTCCTTGCTAGCATGATGTCAGCAGAGACCTACTAAAACAAAAGAAAATAAGCGCCAGAGAGTCTCATAACATAATACCCAAAATGTCCAGGTTATAATTGAAAATCACTCATCATACCAAAAACCTTTTGAGATTTTTAATGAGAAAAAATGATGAGCAGACACTCATACTGAGATGACATAGATGTTGAAATTATCTGACAAAGATTTTAAAGGTTTTAACATGAAAATTCTTCAGTGAGCAGTTACAAGCACATGAAATAAAGGAAAACACAGAAAGTCTCAGCAAAGAAATGGAAAATATAAAGAAGAATCAAATGGAAATTTTAGAACTAAAGACTGTTGTTGTTGTTAAGTGCCGTCGAGTCGTTTCCGACTCATAGCGACCCCATGCACAGCAGAACGAAACACTGCCCGATCCCATGCCAGCCCCATAATCCCTGCTGTACTTGAGCCCATCATCGCAGCCACTGTGTCAATCCATCTCGTTGAAGGCCTCCCCCTCTTTCGTCGACCCTCCACCCTACCAAGCATGACATCCTTCTCCAG